GAGTGCACACTGGAGAAAAGTCTCACGAGTGTGAAATTTGTTTTAAGCAGTTTACTCGAGTACACGATTTGAAGAGACATTTGAGAGTGCACACTGGGGAAAAGCCTCACAAGTGTGAAATTTGCTTTAAGCAGTTTAATCGCAAATGTTATTTAAAAAAACATTTGATGTTTCATGCTGGAGAAATGCCTTACAAATGTGAAATTTGTTTTAGGCAATTTACTGCACCATACGATTTGAAAATACATTTGAGATTGCACACTGGAGAAAAGCCTCACAAGTGTGAAACTTGTTTTAAACAGTTTACTCGAGCATATGATTTGAAAAGTCATTTCAGAGTGCACACTGATGAAATACCTCACAAGTGTGAAATTTGTTTTAAACAGTTTAGGTGCAAACGTAATTTGAATAACCATTTGATGGTTCACGCTGGAGAAACACCTCACAAGTGTGAAATTTGTTTGAAGCAGTTTACTCGAGCACATTTTTTGAAATATCATTTGAGATTACACACTGGAGAAATGCCTTACAAGTGCGAAATTTGCTTTAAGCAGTTTAGTCACCCAAGTAATTTCAAAACACATATGATGTATCACGTTGAAGAAAAGCCTTACAAGTGTGAAATTTGTTTTAAGCAGTTCACTCTAAAAGGTTCTTTGGTTTACCATACGAAAGTTCACACTGGAGAAAAGCCTTACAAGTGTGAAATTTGTTTTAAGCAGTTCATTCGAAAAAGTTTTTTGGATCAACATATGAATGTTCATACTGGAGAAAAGCCTTACAAGTGTGAAATTTGTGTTAAACAGTTTACTAGTAGGAGTAGTTTGAAAAGGCATTGGAAAGTGCATATTTAAGAAATGCCTTACAAGTGTGAAATTTGCTTTAATTTAAGCAATTTAACCACATAAGTGATTTGAAAAATCATATGAGAGTGCACACTGCAGAAAAAGTTAATTTCGTCTAATACTATGAAAATTAAGTATGTAATTTGAAAAGGTTTTTAATTATACTTCTTGTGGGGTTCAATATTAAAATTGTGAAATTTGTTTTAAACAATTTGTCAAACATATGAAATTGCATACTGGATAAACTGTAATGCAACAAAAATCAATTTTTGGTTATCTATATGGGATATTTTCATAAAACAGAGAAACTTTTTTATAATCTAGAAAAAATTGGTCAAATGTAAACCAGAAAGTTATTGTACATTTGCACTACTGATAAATACACTTAGACAGAAAACTGCGTATTTTTCCATGTTGTTTTTTATATATACATTTGAAAAATTATATGCATTTAATCACATTTTTTTTTTTTCGAAAAGATACCAAGATACCGATTTGATTAGTGAAACATAGACTTTTAATATTCTGTGAGGGTGGTTTTCATTTATGACGTTAAAATTTTTTCTACAATACCGAGTTATATCTTCCTTAAACTGTTTTCTGTACTCGGACAGTTATTTATGTCCATTAAATACCAACTGTTACATATGCCACAGTAACGTGTATTTTGTCAATTTTTCACAGTAATTAAGGCACTTTTTTTCTATTTCCTTACATGTGTTTTTTTGTGTGAATTAAAGAAGTCTGTATCTATAACACTAAATTTACTACAGCTATTTTACTGAGTGGTATGATTTTTATGTTGTAAGAGTGTCTCTGTTAAAGTATTCTTAACATCAGTGAATCGATTACTAATAAACTGGGAATAAGCCACAATTAAAGATAAAAATACGTTTATTGACGTTTCAATTTCCACTTCGGAAATCGTTCTCAAAATACAAACAGTAAATTACAGCTTCAGAACAATATCAGTGAATCGAATATGCAATGTATCTACCATGCGGTCCATATGTATGGAATAAATTCATTTTTAGCGTTATTATGTACTGTGTGAAAAAAACCTGAAACAGGTCGATTTTTAGTCTTAAATTGACAATTTACCGTATAAAAATATTATCCCCCTCCAGCACCCCCTTTGAAATATAAGCACCCCCTCGAAAATTTTAAATAACAAAGGGGGTCGTGTGATACTTTGTTAGAAAGATATTTTAGTCCTCTGTTCAGCAATATAAGTTTTTTAAGTTTGATGCAATTATAACTGAGAAAAGTGATTTTTAAGATGTAAAATTTTGATAATGTCTCTATCACAAAACTTTAGGTTGAATGACGATAATAATGTCACATAATATTTAGAATGTACCTTACAATTAAATTAAATGTTCAAAATGACCACCATTCACTTCTTGACAATAACCGAGGCGATTTTGGAATTCTTGTATAACATTTTTATGACCTCGGGGGTTATTTTGTTAATTTCTTCAGTTATCCTAACTTTTAAATCAGCAATATTGATTAAAATATACTATATATTAATTAAAATATACTTTAGAAATAATCAGGTATTTTTGTATCTGTTTTGCTAAACACTATTGAAGTTCTGATCTGCTCAACATTATTAAAATATTAGTCAAAAAGCCAAATAAACATTTGATATAAATCTAGTGGCTGCTGTCATTTAGGTATTTAAAGTTATTAAAAGACGTCATTAGAATATTTGTGTGCATATTAAATTTAATTATGTCTCATTTGTGCGAGACTCAAAGAATAGACATTTTAATTATGATTGGTTGTGGTAATAAAACAAGAACTCAAAAGCAGGTTTGTGAAATGTTTAATAATAAATCCCCTATTCATTAAGTTTCACAATCTACAGTGAGCAAAATTAAAAAAAAGTTTCGTTATACTGGATATGTAAAAAATATTGAAAAATCAGGTAGAAATGTTAAATTTACTGATGAAAAAAAGTTAGATGTACTTCTAGAGATCCAGGAAAATCCGTTATAAGACAACTCGAGTTGCCGCCATCAAAGATGTAAGTAAATCATCTATGTTGAGAGTTTTGCATAAAGAAAAATACCAACTTGACAAAGTTCAGTTAACTCAGAAGATAAATGAGGATGATCCTGACAGAAGGCAAGATTTCTATGAAATGATGATGGAGAGAATGAACGTAGATTTGCGGTTCATAAACAAAATGGTCGCGTTCACCAGATGCAAACGTTGGCAATCAGTTTCCGCTTTATTCTTCTGAACGGCTTGCTGAGTGTTGCAAACGTCAAACATGTTTGGAAAGTGATCGCCATTTTTGCAAGCATAAAGTATTTACGTTGAATTTTCTAAACTTGTTGACTATTAGCAAAAATATGGCGGGAATGGAAATTATACAAATTATAGAATATATTTATAATGGTTTTGTGTATAAAATAACGGCTACCGAAGACATTCATAAAAGATTGGATGGTTAGGTTAGGCTAGCTATGTTATCATCGATTTTATTTTTTATTATTAAAAAAATAATTCAAAAACTGAGAATATTTATTTTAGGTTAGGTTCAATCAAGCAAAATGTCAAATCTCAACCTCCACAATAACCGTTCAGCTCGTTGTCAACAAGTTTAAGAATCAAAGCGCAAACAGTTGTGAACATGTTTGCATCTAGTTTGATCTGGTGAACGCAGCCATTAGTTTTTTCTGATAAAGCGTCGTTTCATTTAAACGGAACGGCTAACAAATAGAACTGTAGATATTGGAGCAGAGAAAATCCTCACTGGCTGTGTGAGACTCACACGCAATATCCTAAAAAAGTTAACGGTTGTGCTGGTATCATTAACAATGAAATTATTGGTCCTTTTTTTTGAGGGCACAGTTGATCGTGAGGTTTATCTAGATTTTTTGATTAACTTTTTAGTGCATACATTACGAAGATTTTTTCCTGTTGTTAATCATCCAAATGAGATAAATCGATCTATTTACTACTAACAAGACGGAGATCCACCGCATTTTGCACTTTTAGTTAGAAATTATTTAAGCGAGTTTTTTTTTTCAATATGTGGATTGGAAGACCGAAAGGTGGTAGAACGATCGAATGGCCGGCTAGATCACCGATTTTACTCCTCTCGATTACTTCTTATGGTTATTTAAAATCTGAAGTATATTTTAATAGACCAAACAGTATTGCTGATTTAAAAATTAGGTTAACGGAAGAAATTAACAAAATAACCGCCGAGGTCGTACAATATGTTGTACGAGAATTACAAAATCGCCTCGGGCATTGTCAAGAAGTGAATGGTGATCATTTTGAACATTTAATTTAGTTGTAAAGTACATTGAGAAATACATTTTAAATATTATGTGACATTATTATCGTCATTCAACCTAAGGTTTTGTGATAGAGACATTATCAAAATTTTACATCATAAAAATCACTTTTCTCATTTATGATTGCACCAAACTTAAAAAACTTTATATTCCTGAACCGAGGACTAAAATCCCTTTCTAACAAGGTATCACACGACCCCCTTTGTTATTTGAAATTTTCAAGGGGTGCTTATAATTCAAAGGGGGTGTTGGAGGAGGATAAAATTTTTATACCGTAAATTGTCAATTTAAGAATAAAAATCGACCTGTTTCAGGCTTTTTTCACATAGTAGATAATAACGCTAAAAATGAATTTATTCCATACATATGGACCGCATGGTATATCGTTATTGTAATTATAGCGATATCATAACTGTGCGCTTTTATTGTTGTCAATTATTTATTAAATTAAAACAGTAAATATCAATCTATAACTACTTGGTAATTCTAGCTTTTAATAAATTTATTATCAAAATTAAAAAATGACTTGCATTTTTTAAACGTGTAGTTAATTTTAGTCAGTTAACAAATATTTTTTTGTACGTTTTATAAGGCTAGCGGACCAAGGCAATATCATTTTCCCCTTTCAAATAGCTTAAATTCTTGATATCACTATATTGCTGATGCTAGTCATTGGGCTGTTTTTCTTAAAAACAGTCGTTGGGTGTTAGTGCCTGGCGTTTTAGTAGGTTTCAGATTTATTTATTAGGATATTCATTCTTACTAAATTATATTTATTTTTGCTTTTACCCTGTAATTGCTGAATAAACAAATTTTTATAGTTTCCTTTTTATTTTAGGGTTTTCTCAGAACAGAATGGAAACCATAAAAACTAAACTTGCATGCACTACAGAAGAACGAATAAGTGCAAACACTGAAGAAACAATTTGTTTGGATGAACATATGAAAGTTCGCACTGGAGAAAAGTCTCACGAGTGTGAAACTTGTTTTAAGCAGTTTACTCGAGTACACGATTTGAAGAGACATTTGAGAGTGCACACTGGGGAAAAGCCTCACAAGTGTGAAATTTGCTTTAAGCAATTTAATCGCAAATGTCATTTAAAAAAACATTTGATGTTTCATACTGGAGAAAAGCCTTACAAGTGTGAAATTTGTTTTAGGCAATTTACTACACCATATGATTTGAAAATACATTTAAGAATGCACACTGGAGAAAAGCCTCACAAGTGTGAAATTTGTTTATAAGCAGTTTGCTCAAGCAGATTATTTGAAAAATCATCTCAGAGTGCACACTGGTGAAATGCCTCACAAGTGTGAAATTTGTTTTAAGCAGTTTAGTCACAAAAGTAATTTGAAAAACCATTTGATGATTCACGCTGGAGAAATGCCTCACAAGTGTGAAATTTGTTTGAAGCAGTTTACTCGAGCACATTTTTTGAAAAGTCATTTGAGAGTGCACACAGGAGAAATGCCTTACAAGTGCGAGATGTGCTTTAAGCAGTTTAGTCACCCAAGTAATTTCAAAACACATTTGATGTTTCACGTTGAAGAAAAGCCTTACAAGTGTGAAATTTGTTTTAAGCAGTTCACTCTAAAAGGTTCTTTGGTTTACCATACGAAAGTTCACACTGGAGAAATGCCTTACAAGTGTGAAATTTGTTTTAAGCAGTTCATCCGAAAAAGTTTTTTGGATCAACATATGATTGTTCATACTGGAGAAAAGCCTTACAAGTGTGAAATTTGTTTTAAGCAGTTTATTAGTAGAAGTAGTTTAAAAAGGCATTGGAGAGTGCATATTGGAGAAATGCCTTAAAAGTGTGAAATTTGCTTTAAGCAATTTAACCATATAAGTGATTTGAAAAATCATTTGAGAGTACACACTGTAGAAAAAGTTAATTTCGTCAAATACTATGAAATTAAGTATGTAGTTTGAAAAGGTTTCTAGTTATACTCCTTGTGGGGTTCAATTTTAAAATTATGAAATTTGTTTTAAACAATTTGTCAAACATATGTAATTGTATACTTGATAAACTTTTATGCAACAAAAATCAATTTTTGGTTATCCATAGTGTATATTTTCATGTTATTAGCCGCTCTATTTTGTCGTATTATCAAAAAATAAAGACATATTTTCAGTATAAAATAGCCTTATTTGCGTATCCAGCTCCATTCCGTATTGAAATAACGTAATTATTATAAGAAAAAATATGTGCATTCAGATCATTTTTTAGTCCATTTTAACCACTAAGCGTTAAGGGGTTAAACCAATTTGCTCTTTGGTTTAAAGGCTGTGAATTAATTATTACCATAACGCTTTTGAATAAAGCGGCAGTGCTGTTGGGTGAAACAGGTAGTTTAACAGTACTGTTGCTGTTCCCAAGCCCTGATAATGGAGGAGGAAGTCTTTAGCCGAGTTAGCACCCTACTGACGGACTATAAATATTTTGTTCATAGAGATAGGGTCAAAACAGGACGGATTTAACTATGACGACCAATGCGAGAAAAAGGAAAATGAAAAATATTCTTCGAATCGGTACGGGAAACCTGAAATCTCTAACCACAAGAGACCAAGAAATATCCAAAAAATTTAAAGAGAATAATATTAATGTTTAGTGCACAAGAAACTTGCAAACCAAATAGAAGACATTAAGTATGTCTCAGAGAAGAGTTAAGTCCTTAAATGTGATGGCAATGTATGCACCTGAAAACAACAGAGATGTAAATATAAAGAAAAGCTACGAACTTAAAATACTTAAGTTTGACTTAAAATACCCTGTTGGCAGTGACATAGTCCCAGAGATAAAATAACGATCTAACGAGAAAGTCAGAAATCAAAACAGTGATGTTCTGGCGGACTTTAGAACAAATGAATTACGTAATGATATTGTTTTTACTCACACAGAACAACTCAAGTATACCTTTGAAAAAATCAGATGACAAAGATCTCTGATTGACTATATTCTTTCAAACAGAGATCTACTTCCTTCCCAAATTTGGGATATTAAGGAACTAACATCGGCAGAGATATGAAGCGACAGTTTAATTTAAGTATCTAGACGACCGGTTTCGCTTTCTACAATATGCAAAGCATCTTTATGTCAGTCGGTACAAAGTTAATTAAATGCTGAAATAATAAAACCCATATTAGGGTGCTGTCTTATAAAGATAAACAAAGATAAATGATATAAATTACAGTAATTATGCCAATATTACATGTATGTAATGAATAAACTGTTTAAGCAATAAGCAGACAAAGTAAGACCCACAAATTGGTATAAAAAAATAGTCTATTGAATTGTAATAAATTGGTAAATAAACAAAACATTACTTACATTCCGGTACAAGATTAATTGATGATCTAGAGAACAGTTTAAACTATGCTGTAATGGCTGATGATGGGATCTTCAGTTTATACTATTTTAACAGTTTGATAATTAACGGGAAAGTGTCTTGAGGAGATAGATATTAACCAATGAAGTAGAGATATAAGGTATAATGTGATTGTTTGTTAAATAAAAGTGATGTTCTGTATTATTATTTATATATTTACTCAAGAGATATATTTTCGAAATATATGTTAATTTATTAAAACTTTATATGAAGGCGACAGTTTTATGACAATGAATGAAATTAGATGTACAATTGTGTGGGTGTGCAATTCCTTTAACTTGTAGTTATCAAATTTTTTTGATAAAGTTGAATTAGATTAGTACTGTTGTTTTGGCAGATAATTATAATGTTAAATATGTTAAGGACACTTTGAGGACAAACAGAACACACTTAAAAGGACAAAACAGACATTAAATTTAAAATGGGGAACTTATTGGCACTACATATTTGAACTGGAGAAAATGAGTTTTTTTGCTGTCTATTAGATTTTTAGAGGTAAATTTGACAAGGAAATGTAAGTTAAAGTGTGACAGTTCTTTTTAGAGAAGACCACTTTCATTTAACAAACAATCACATTATACCTTATTTCTACTTCATTGGTAGAAACTATTTCTAGAAACTTCCCCGTTAATTATCAAACAGTTACAATAGTAAAAACTGAAGATCCCCATCATCGGCAATTACAGGATAGTTTGAACTATGTTCTCCAAAATCTTGTTCCGGAATGTAAGTAATGTTTTGTTTATTTACTAATTTATTACAATTCAATAGACTATTTTATACCAATTTGTCTTACTTTGTCTGCTTAAAGAGTTTTTTTTTTGAGGTGAGAATCTTCAAAAGACCGTCTGGGAAGGTGTCCCCGGTGTGTCGGATTCGGATTCAGTCCGGCACGCTTCACCGCGTGCTGAGACCGCCTACCGACTAAACTCACCCCCTCTTTCTCCAACCGACGCGTCTGGAACCGCACTTAGCGTGCATGTCTGACCCGCTGACCTTACTCTTAACTCCATTCTGGCACTTTTCGCGTGCATTCCATTGGTTTGGCGGCCACCTATCCTCCCCCTCCGCAAAAGCCTCGTGCCAGACTGGTCGGTGAAGTGACCGTCCAGCGCAAGTCATTCGCGGTTCGGGCGACCAGGATGCCCTCCCTCCATGATGAAACTAGCAAGACAGAACCAGTTGGCAGTTACGAGTAACGCCAAACATTCTTCCTTTCATCAATTCATTCATTCAATACACACATTCGTTCAAAACTCAACATTTAAAACAAGGAGGCAGTCGGCTTAGGTTAGGTGTAAAGGGTCCTCCCCCGCTAAACTGCCCCAGGACGTATACGGGTAGAACAAGGAAAACATAAATCAAAACATAAACAAAACAAGAAACACAAGAGGCACTCAGTCTGAGTCGGGTGTAAAAGTCCTTCCTTTACTGAATGTCTCTTAAGACGTGCACCACAGTTAAATAAAATTATAGTAAAAACGGTAAAATCTATAAATAAAATTGGTAAATAAAAAAATAAATAGATAAAACAGAATAAATAAAATAAAATAAGGACAGTCAACGTAGTTTGGATGTAAAGGGTCCTCCCCCGCTGATTGCCTTACGTGACACAAACACGTTTAAAAAAATAAATAGTAACGATCGGTCATCCCACTTGCAAACGCCTCTCTTTCTCCTCTTTGTGTTTGATTGTCTTAGTAACAAAAGCAATGACCAGGTCGAAGTCTCTCTTGCTATCGATAACTTTATCGATTAACTCGTGAGGCTCGCCTAGAGAATACCCAAGACCCAGCTGTAGCTCGGTGCGCCCCGCATGATATGCAGGGCAAACGAACACAACATGCTGCGCGTCATCCACCACTCCACACTCGGGACATAGATCGTCCGCGGTCTTTCCTATACGGTGGGTAAATTTCCTGAACGATTAATGCCCCGTCAAGAACTGTGTAAAGCAAGGCTGCCAGGTCTAGGGATTTATCCCGAATCTAGGGATATTTCAGCATAAAAGGGACAAAGGGATTTTTTTGATATTTATTTGATTTTTTATTTGACCGGCTCAAATATTTACCTACATAGGTCTATTATAATAACATTTTTTTTAATTCAGGTATAAAACCACTTCGTATTAACAGTATTAAATAAGCGATCTTTAATTACAAATACTTAAACTACTAGTAAACTACTAAAGGATTCTATTATCAGATGTCGTTAACTGTCCACGTTCTTGGAATCTTTATTTTATGCTACCAAATAGATTTCTGCCAAAAATAGAATTATATATATTTTCATAGAGAAGCAAATTCTGGAGCAGGAATTAGGGGATTTACAAAAATCTTAGGTTTTATAAAATAAATAATTAGAGGATTAGGGTGAATCCCAGGATTCGTGGAAATATATAAATAAAATTATATGCTTCACCATCTTAATTCTTTTCAAGTTGTATTT